ATATATATTTGAACTGAATTCTTCAAATCAAAACAAGCAGAACAGAAGCTACAATCATGAAAAATGTAACCAAATGCTACAATGAGCTAAACTATTGTCAAAATTGAACTTAGCTATAAAGAATACTTGGAAACATGTTAGCCAAAAACTGAGATTAGCCAAATTTAGCTAACAATAAAATGAGCAAAACAGTAGCTAAAAGCCTAAATAAGCTAAAGAAGACAGGGCAGGTATGCTTATGTTTTAGAGAAAATAAAAACAGAAGAAGATAAAGTTTTCAGTGACTCTAGATTCTGTGGATGTCCATGTTAGAACCATTTGACCTACTTTCATGTTTTGATCTTGTCTAGTATTGGGATGGCTTAGATGATCCTGTATTTTCAATGCCCCAAAATGTGAAACATGGAGCACTAGCTCTGGTTTTCAGTTGCTGTGACTAGGTGTAAAATCCACAATAAAATTTGCAAAGAGCTTTCGTATTTTATTAGTTCTCTGGTTTGCTATGGCAGCTAGCACCTACTAGGGTTGGGCAATATTGGCAAAAAATTAATCACAATTAATTGTGGTATTTAGCTGATAATGATTAATTTGACAATTAATCCCCTGGACACCCTTATGTCCTGGCCACATGACCAATTTGGTGGGGACGATTTGCTCTTCATAAAAATCTGTTCCGAATTGTGTCAAAATTACAGACTTCAGTTTATACATCAAATTTTAAATTGTGTCAATAGATAAATAAATTACAAAACTTTTTTTTAAATGTTCATCATATTTGAAGCGGAGAGGAGCAGTGATCGGACTCTGCCTGGTGGCATTAATCGTATTAATCGTCAAGTGCCCAAAAAAATCCATTAATGTTTTTCTGACGATTAATTGCACACGATACGATTATGCCCAACCCTAGCACCTACTACCAGTTACTTTTCTCATTTCACCTGTGGGTAGACATTTCTACATAACTTGTAGTGTCATTCATTTCCAAACACGAATTTTTGGAGAAGAGGGTGTAATGTCTCAGTTAGCCACCTAAGTGGTGTGTCTGCAGTGTCTCTGTCCAGGTGCTGCACTTCTATAATTCAGTGTTCCACATGACACTTAACATTAGATAATAATACGTATTTGACATTTTAAAATCTATTCAGAGTTGTTCATATCTGCACTGCGATTAATCACAAATAGATTATAATCTTTATAATCCCAACCCTTAAAGTAGACATCCTTCTTTTAAACAATTTTAATCCTTCAGTTGGGGTCAGGGGTGGAAATTAGCACCCACCACAGGCCAAATGCGGGTAAAATTATGAAGTGGTGTGTAGATCTGAACAGCTCACCTGCCACTGTGGCAGGTGTGTAGCCTAATGAACAAAAATAAATAAATAAATAAAATGCGTTCAAATCACGCTACTGACCTTTGTCAAAACCTCAGTTTCATTTTTATTTTGCATTTCAGAGCTTATAGGACGTTAAAAAACATTAAATAACATCTTCCAGCCATCTTCCAACCTGCTCTACAGCAATAAATAAGTTCCCCCTCCACCTTTCCTGTGCGCTGTCATCTGTGTGGTCCGCCTGGCACTCCCACCCCACCCCCCGTTGCGTGCATTATACAGGTAAGCGTCCGATTATCAAAAGGAGAAAATGAAAACACCAACTTCAATGTGGCATTACATATCTGGAGTTAATCGGGCAGCAGGTAACAAAATCCTTTAAGAGGAACCAAATGAAGAACAGAAAAATGCAGTTTTTTTAACAATGAATGGAAAGGGGAAAAAACAGACAATAGTGAATTTAACAAGGCATTCAATTTGGTTTCATCTGTGTGCAAACAGCAAAGCTGAACAGGCTGGCATCAAGAACAAAAACCTCAAATCAGCTGATTAAAAACTTTCTAACTGCCAATGTGTCAGTTTTACATAAATGTTAGTTAAAAAACTCAGTTGCAAAATATTTTAACTCAATGACCATGATCACTTTCATTGATCAATAGAAACTTAAGGAAAAACCGTTTTTTAACCTCTAGGAAACATCTGAAGAACAGCTGACAGCTCCAAATAAATAAATTAATTAATTAATTAATTAATAAACTGCTCCTTCTTTTCCCTTAACTTTTCTCTGCAGGCTATTTTTTGATGCAGAACAAAAAAACCCAGGCAAACTAAGTAACAAAATGAACCTTGTGACATGAACTTTTTCAAAAGTAAAAATAGAAATGATCCCACTCTGAGACAATGGATCATCGGGATTTCCATCTGTTACTGAAACAGTTAGAACAGAAGACACATATTCATACTAGGGGTTCATGGGGCAGCTGTGGCAGAGTGGTTAGGGAGTCATCCTGGAACTGGAAGGTCACCGGTTCGATCCCCCGTCCAGCTGTCTCAGTTGTTGTGTCCTTGGGCAAGACACTTCACCCCCCTAATGCCTCTGATGTGTGTCCCATCAGTGTATGAATGTGATTGGCACTGATTAGTCTCCATATTTGATTGTACATGTTAGCTTTGTAGGAGACCTAGTAGAGTGCTGAATGAATGAGTAAATGAGGACACAGATTGTAGTGTGAAGCACTGAAGAATGTCCTGGATGGATAGAAAGGTGCTGTAAAAGTACAGTCCTTTCACCCTTTAACATACTAGTAGCCTATAGAACAAAAACTACAAGTGATAAAGGGCAAAGGCTGATTTTATTAAATAAAGGAGATAAATTTACCTCAGGCAATTAGATTTTTTTTCACCTTGAAAATTTCTCCTATATTGTTAAGGTTAAAAAGCTTTTTTTTTCCCCCAGCAAAGTAGCCTACCTAAAAATAATTGGTATTCCACCTACATTCCAAAAAAAAAGCAAGTTAGTAAGAGAAGTAGAGACATCAAAAAGTCCATTTTAATTTTGGGCAAACAGGCTGGCTTGAATACTCGAAGACACTAATAGATTTTGAGTGCCATTATCTGATTGTAGGCACAAACAATATAATTAGGCCACCAAGGACCATGAATTGTCCAAATACCGCCTTGTTACAGAAACAAAAAAATATTAGCTGGCAAAAAGTTAGAGTGGCCGGTACAAAACTCTCTACCAGCCACTGTGGCTGGTGGGGAATATTTTTAATTTCCACCCCTAGTTGGGGTTAATATAAAGTGAAATTGCAATGCTTTGGTCTGCATTTCTCCTTATTGTAACTCCACAAGCCCCTCTTTCATCCCTGTAATGTTGTAATATGAAATAATGTAATTAAATCAGGCTTCCAAATGTAATAAAGCCACACTAAAACTGCATTATGTAATAAGTGATGCAAATTGAAATAGAAGTCTTCAATGGATTTTGTAATACTCTCAGCCACATTATGTAACAACGTTATATTTTACAGTGATTGTAACAAAATACGGTGGTTGCTCTTTTTAGAAATTATACAGTAATAATGTGGTGCATTATGTAATAAATGATCTCAAACTAGTGTTTGTGTCCATCCTAATAACACACTTTTTATAATGATCATTTTGCAGATACTGCACGTTTAAATTTTCTAAACTTGGGTCAATAAATGCCAAACATTTCATCATTTCATTGCCTATTCACCTTTACTGTCATGGTGCCTCATGTATAAATGATGAAAAAGTTATGTGCACCAGGTTCCATGCACACGTCAAAATTTATCGAAATCAATGTTTTCACCTGCCGTGAGAATGTGAAGACAGTCACACAAAGTTTTTAGTCGACCGTTTTAACCCATAAAGTCATGAATCTGACCTAAATCCAGAGAAATATGACTCTATTCTGTTTTCCAAACACTGTTAGATCTTTTGATTTGAACTTACATTGATTAAACCTGAACAATGAAATTGAACCTCATTTAACCTCAGACAAGAAAACAGAGCAGCCTTAACAACCTCTGTCCACTGTGAACAGCAACATTTTTACATTTTTGTCAAATGTAGATATAAACACAAATCAGAGACCGCACACTATGGCATTACATTTGTGCCATCAGCTTGAGGTTGTAGTGTCTCTTTCTGGTCCCTGGTTCCGTTTCGGTTCGGTTCGGCTCCGTCAGCTGCTCGACCCTTCTCGTCTCTCTTTGTCTGCTCCGTCTGGGGCTGATCTGGGGCTGCTGCTCCGACTGGTTTCGCTGTCGGTGGCTCGCTGCTACTTCTGGCTGGGTGGCTGGTTCTGCTGTCTCTGCTCACCGTCTGCTTCTGGCTGTTGCTGCTCCTGGGTCGATGAAAACCAGTGGACTTCCTCCTCTGGCAAGTCAATAAAACTCTAGGCTAACATTTTAATAAAGAAAAGAGACGCTAATCTTCAGTTCTGGACATGTTTATTCACGAGAGACACACAAGCGCGTCCACACAACTAAAATGTTACTCTGACTCTCTTCCGAGAGAAGCCCGTGCCCGCCTCCATGCGCGCTCCGGTCCGACATGCTCGTTCACGTATTAAAGGGCCATACACACCTGAAAATTCACCACATTCCCCCCTTCGATACGTCAGTATCGACAAATAA